TGGGGTGGGGGGGGGGGTGGCAAGAAATTCTTCCTTCCCCCCTATTTTTTTTTTTTTTTTTTTTTTTTTGGTTCTTAGATAAAGTCCAGGCTGCTGGAGACACACGGTTCCTGCAGGGCAATGTGTAACACGAAACCTTCCCAGGTTATTTTAGACCTGGCACGTTGGCACCCTGGGAACGGTGGCCGAGAGCCCGGCTTGTGGGTTCACCGGTGAAAGTTACCGGGGAATCCTTAGGAAGCAGGCAAAAAAAAAAAAAAAAAAAAAAAAAAGAGGGGGGGGGGAAGGAGCAGAGCGGTTTTACCACTCTCCTAAAGCCACCCCGAAGCCTCTGCTCCGCTTCTTCATTGTCAGAGAGCGATGCAGGGAATATGCCCTCTGTGCTGAGGATCCAATGCATTTGTGGCACATTCCTCCTCGCCCCCCTCCCCCAGCTCATTAGCCTGTAAGTATTGGATATTGAGAGCACGTTTCTGGGGCCGTGGGCGCACTCCCATGGCATCGCGGATTTTCTCTGACTTGCAAGTGAACTTCACGTAACTGAACTATTCTGTCCAGGAGTCGTGCTGGGGGGGAGGGTTGTATTGGGGTGGCACTTATTTTTAATAATCCCATATTAAGACGTTTACTTCCAGTGTTTGCTAATGACTCCCCTCCTCTCCCCTCCTCCCGAGTTCATGTTTGCTGGACCGTGGGTCGCATTTCTTTTTTGGAAAGTTAAACTTTTAGCAAGACCATTCTGGTGCTGCTTTGCATTCGAGGGCAATAAATTCCGGAGCAAATGGCAAAGGCTCTTCTATGATCTTTAGCTGATGTCTATAATTATACTTAAATTGCAGACCCTCCGTAGTCACAGCCATGGCAATGGAGTGTGTTTGTGTAAACACACCCGCATACGCGTGCACACATACACGCGCACACACATGCGTGCAGCTCCTCGGATCGCACACGTGTGTGTGTGTGTGTGTGTGCGCGCGTGTGTGCGTGTGTGTGCGCGCACAGGCTCTCAACCCGCAGAGGGTAGACACCGCTCAGGGATTCACACGGGTGCTACCTACTTCACTTTCCCTAGGTCCGCCTTAAAGCCCCTTTGTATCCCCGTTACCCCACCACCGTCAGCACGCTGCACATCCGCATTTACAGCTGGTCAGGCAGGAGAAAAGGAAAAGAGGGGAAAAAAAAAACAGAAAACAAAAAAGCCTCCAGGAAACCAGAGCAGCCCACCCCCACCCCTCCCGTGATTGTGCCTGCAAAAGGAGGCAGAATATACTAACCGCGCTTTCTGGTCTGAAATCACTGGGCCCTGTCCAATGCGATCGTTTTGTCTTTACTTCTACAGGTACAGTATATGGAACTCATGGGAGACGAGGGAGGCAAACTTACACCAGATACCAAACGCTAGAGTTAGAGAAGGAATTTCATTTTAACAGATACTTAACCCGAAGACGACGTATTGAGATTGCAAACGCTCTCTGCCTTACTGAACGCCAGATTAAAATATGGTTTCAAAACAGGCGGATGAAATGGAAAAAGGAAAACAAATTCATAAATTCCACACAGCCCAGCAGCGAAGAAACAGAGGAAAAGTCAGGGGAGTAGAACCACGTTTAATAAACGCTACCAGGCCTTTCCTTAGCGCTTACGATTACTATTATTATTTACCTTGTGTTCCTTCTGCTACTGAAAACCTATAGGTTTGTCACAGTCTATTAATTCCCAAAAGGCTTGGTTAAAAGCTGTACATTTGCAATCATCTGTGACTTTCTTTAATATATGTGGAAGACCTAGCTTTCGAGCTACAGGCATGTATGTATATAATCACCTTTCCAAAGCATAGATGGCGTTGCTTAAAGTGTTAGAGAAATGGCCCAGATTTTTAAATATTTGAGGTGAGCATCTGTGTGTGGGTGACTGTCCCTGGCGTGCCTGTGTGAGAAGAGATAAGAGAGTGATTTTTTTTTTTTAATTAGAAATGTTCATATTGTAGAAATACGAGAGATTTTAGAAAACCTTGGGTTTATGTTTTTGCTAACTCCCGCTATGTCGGGCCGTCTCGTTATGCTGTGTTTGGGAGCTTATGCTCTGCAGGGGAGAAAAAAAAGTTTTACGCATGTATAAGATATTTAAATAGCAAAAAGAAGAAAAATCCTTTTAAAAAATCGTTGTATAAAACCCTGGGTATAAACTTGCAGTTAAAGCGAAGATAAATTGCAGGGAGAATTTTAAAATGCCGCTAAACTGCCTAATCTGCACTACTAGTATTAAAGTAAAAACTCGGCGTTAAACTTCAGGGGAAGCGAGGGAAGAGGTTTTTGAAGCGGGCGAATTTCTGTGGTTCCCGTTGAGCTTACACTGAGGTTTCGGTGAGTTCAGCTCTACACTGAAGGGGCTTTGAATTATGGACTACATTTCTTGGGGCTCCGTGGGCTTGGGTCGATCTTTCTTTCTTTTTTTTTTGTTCCTATTTTTTTTTTCTTTATTAAAAGAAAATGTTCTGTCGTATTAAATCGGGGATCTTCTTCCCCGCTTTTGTAGTATCTTAATTCACGTTCGCATTTCTTAGCACTGGAAAAAATAAATAGATACTCTAAAGAAAAGAAGCAGCCATAAAATGCTTCGACTTCGAGTTCTGTATAAGTAAAATAAGCGCAGCGAAAATATTGATTAATATATACGTTATATCTCTCTATATTATATTGTGTGTGCGTGAGTGTGCGTGTGAAGCTGTGTACAAATACACTTGTATACGCATCAAGGCTCTTTTGTTTGGAAGGCAGCGCATTTTGGGCTACCGCTCTAAATATTTTAAAAGCCAAATCTGGAAAATACTAATGCAAAATGGCTACCGCCGCATTTAGAGTTTTTTTTTT